CCCTAGGGTTAGAAGGTTCTGGAGCCTTATGTTCAACTATTAAACAATTTCACTTTAGATCGATAACTTTTAATTAATCACATTAATCCCAAAATTAATTCTAATTAATTTTTGATAAATTATTAATTAAATAATAGCTTTTCTAATTAATGTATTATTTTCATAATACATTAATAAACTATTCATTTCAATTTATTAATCACATAATAAATCAATATTTCTCTCTCTAAAAGTCATATTGTCCAATTGCTAGGTTTGAGGGCAACCCTAAAAGGTTGTGCTACTATCAATTCAAATATATACCAATTTTAATTATGGGCTTAGACACCTAATCCAACACTACCACATCAGAATAATTGTTGATTATGGCAAACAATACTTTTATCATTGCGAACAGATATGATGTTATTATTCATTATGTAGACCAAAGAAGTTTATATAATGTGGTTCCTACTTTGAAATTGCCCGCAAGACATCTTAAATCATGCATCTGTTGTGATCACCCATGTTCACCGTAACCATTATGTGATGGTCATATCAAATGTCTATTGTTTTATTATATTGACGTACGTACATATCAGAATGTTCTACTGGATGGGAAACCATGCATGGTGTTCGACTGAATGCTTATGTTCCACATAATACACATAATGCATAACGTAATTGTAATACTCAAACTATCATTATATTCGATGATTAATAAAAACAATATTTTATTTATTATTATTTTCATTTGTATTATAGTTATTTATAATGTTTTTTTTTAATAAAATAGTAATGAAGAAGTCAAATAATATTAATAAAAAACAACAAAAGAATATATATATATATATATATATATATATATATATATATATATATATATATATATATATATATAGAGAGAGAGAGAGAGAGAGAGAGTAAATTACACGAATGGTCCCTATGGTTTGGGGTAATTTGCAAGTTTGGTCCCTAACTTATTTTTTTAACTTGGAAGGTCCCTATTGTTTGTTATTGTTACACGATTGGTCCCTATTTTTTGTTTTTGTTACGTGTTTGGTTCCTATCTTACGTAAAAAGACAACTATTTAAATAGGGAAAAAATTGTAGGGTGGGTAAGGTAAGGTGAGGGGATGGGGTTGGGGGTGTGTTTATTTAAATAAATTAAAAAATCAAGAGAAAAATAAACTTTTTATGTAAGATAGGGACCAAACATGTAACAAAAACAAACAGTAGGGACCTTCCGATTTAGAAAAATAAGTTAGGGACCAAACATGCAAATTACCCTAAACCATAGGAACCATTCGTGTAATTTGCCCATATATATATATATATATATATATATATATATATATATATATATATATATATATATATATATATAAGAGAGAGAGAACAAAAAAAAAAAAAAAAAAAGGATGTAGATATAGATGCACCCCATCCACAGTATATGTTAGGTGTTTTATTAAGAGTGTTTTCAAACAAATATGTTTTAAAATTAAAATTAAAAAAAAAAAAAAAAAAAAAAAAAAAAAAAAAAAAAAAAAAAACAATTAGAGTGTTTTAAAGGAAAGATTTTTTAAAACCATCTCTAACTAGTTACGTTTTTATACTCAGATGTTAATAATGTTTCATTTTCAATTTAAAATCATTTTTACACAATTTTTCACCCAAAATATATCCACTAAATATAATTATTATTTTTTTTTTGTTTTATTTAAATTGTTAAAACATTTTCAACTTAATATCTTTTATATAGTTGTTTACATCTTTTTGTTGTAAACATTTTATAAAAAAAATACAAACTATAACCAAATAAACTATTTGTATATTAGTAATTCGAACTACTTGTTATTTAATAAAACAATATTTGTTAAATAAAAAGAATTATATTTATGAAATTGGCATTTGTTAAATAAAAAAACTACATTATATCAATTAACATGTAAATTCTAGTTAGTAATTATTATATTTAGAATATAATTAGTCATATTTAATAAAATAAACATAAATAAATATGAAACTTAAGAGACTAACCAAAATTTTAATTAATAATTGATCAGAAATTAATTAGAAATAATTTTGGGATTAATGGAATTAATTAAAAGTACATGGTCTAAAGTGCAATTGTTTAATAGTTGAACAAAAGGCTCAAGAACCTTCCACCATAGGGGTGGACGGTTTCGATGAAGATATTATAGGGTTTCTAGAATATCTCATGTGGAATAATAAGAAATGAGATAAATACCAGATTTGAAATATTAATTTAATAATCAAATCAGAGTTATGTAGGGTTTCCTTGTATCACTATATAAAGACTCTTAGGCCTTAGATTTTCGGCCACTCCATCTCTTTAAGAGATAACCAAAATTCTTACACTCCTCTCTCCTTTCTTAAGCCTCCTTTTTGCTAGCTTGGGTATGAACCATTAGAGGTACGACAATTGTGATGCTTGCTTATAAGAGATCTACAAGTAAAGGATTCTTGTTATTTACTATAATAACAATAATGTATGTAATCCTAAACCCTTGTTTGGTATTTTCAAAAATAACCTAGAGTTTCTAGGGTTTATTATTTGATGTTCTTAGTTATAGGTTCAATAGTGAAAACACAAATCATTTAGGTTACATGTGAACTTAAGGGTTTTTAAGTTTATTTGTTTTACCTAATTCCTATCAGGTAGAACATGATCTACCGAAATTCAACGACTGACTCACTGCATTAAATATTCATCGTAAACCATACAAACCCTCTAGGGTGTGTTATTAACTCGTTGTATAGATTTGACCAACTATGATGTCAATAATCTTCACTATAACCAAGAGAAATAGTAATAGTCTGGAATCAACAATTTCATCTCCCTTTACATGTTTAACGTGCTGAATTTATGGATGAAATTCATGTGGAATTTCATTCATAAGTGGATTTAAATTATACACTAGTTGTTCTTGGTTGAAGTACCTCACTGAAGGTTGTTGATGGCAAAAAGACCCCCCCCCCCCCCCCCCCCCACACACACACACACACACACACACACACACACACACACACACACACACACTTTTCTCATATAACTCTATTTCCTATCTTTGACTATTTAGTGTGGCTTTGAAAAAAAAAATTCACACCATTTTCACAATCAAATGTGTCATCTTCGGTGGTAACAAAAACTTTATTTAAACCAAGCTTTCGCCAAATTTATCAATAGACCATGATGATATCAATTGACCTAAATATGAATAAAATTAAATTTCGTACGCACAAGGTAACCTACAACCACGTCGCACTTACATTCATATTCAATTATTTGTTATGCAGTTTTTTAATAAAGCATGGTGTGAAACAGCCCCACAAATCTTTGAAATGTTATATATTGTTTCGATGTTTTGAAATAATTTTGTATTTTTTTTTTTCAAAAATGTCTTATCGCAGTGTTGCGATTCCATTAAAACTTCAATACAGTCAAAATTTTTATCTAAGTTAGCATGCTGCGAATTCAAGTATTTGTTTAACTATGGATGCTAATTGTGTCAAAAAATAATTTTGACACATAGACACATAGTTTTTGTCTTTGTTTTGTGCTATTTGCACCAACTGGATTAAATTTGCATGATTTTTGAGCACATAACGAATTAAAAAAATCAAAGTATTAGAATTCTCAATGCTTACAAACATATAACATCAAAAAATATATATTAAAACTATTAACAAAATATCTATACATCTTCAATGTGAAAACTCTGCATTGCCTTTCGTTTGTTGAATAATGAAATTTGCCTTTAGTTTGCTAAATAATGAAATCTGTCTTTGGCTTGCTGAAAACATCCACATTTCTATAACCATGAAGAATGTAATGAATTATAAAAACGATCAATTATAAACGTAAAACAAAAAATGATCAATTATAAAAGCAAACGTAAAATAGTTTTCGTCAAATGTGGAATGTGTTTGGCATCTTCCAATTTCTAAGTCGACTATGTTTTGTTGGACATCTTTAATTTTAAGTCAACTAAGAATCCAATTTACAGAAATGACCCTTGGACTATTGTTATCTTACGCCGTCGATTTTGTTCTTTTGTAATGTTACAAGTTTCAACCCGAAAATTTCATCATTTATCTGTATTTTAACTTTATTCAAATTATGTTTTCTTTTTGATAAAAAAACTAAACTCGAAAAATATATAAAATAAATCGAGTGATTATATGATCTTCAATAATAACTCCTATAAATCTGATCAAAATTTAGTAGCATAATAATAACTAGGTGTGAGATCCATGTATTACATGAGTTTAATAAAAAAAAAATTAAATATAAAATTTTAACAATTTAAATAATTTGAATTTAAAAAAAGAATGAGAAAAAAATTTGAATTATTAAAATTAATGAAGCTTTAATGTATTGAATACATTAAATATATAACCTTATATATATATATATATATATATATATATATATATATATATATATATATATATATATATATATATATATATTACCTTACATATTATAAATATGGAACTTTAATTTAATAAAATAAAAAATACAATAAAATGACAAGTAGAAAATAAAAAATTCAAAAATTCTAGAAAATATCATGTATCCAAATGAAAGAGAAGAAGATATATGGTAAAAAAAATTTATTAGAATAATAATAATAATAATAAAAATAAAACAGTAAAAGCAACACCCAATTAAGCTAACCAATATATTCTTACTTGGAAACATTTTAATTTCAAGTCTCACATGTTGATTGTGAAACCAAATCAACCACAAAAAAAAAAAAACAACAAACTAAACCAACCAAATTTATATTCACATTGGAAACAAAACCAAAGTAACAACTTTCTTACCATTTAAAGGTTTCACAATTTCACATCACCCAATTAAATTTAATCCTAATTCCCATATTTCAAAACTTAATTTCCCTTTAACTTACATTACCATAAATATGCAAATACAATTAACTACAAGCAAAGAGACTTTGCTTACTGCTCCTACACATTACAAGAAACAAATTTTACTGCTCTTTCCAAATCCTACCTGTCACTCTAAGCTTCAACTCCTTCCTATCTCCACCCGAGAAAAAAAGCCCCATATTTCTTTGAATAATCAAACCATCAAAACTATCACGAACTTTCCTGTGACTATCTCTTATGCTACGTGGCACTCCTTGCCACGTCATCTTCCTCCCGTTCCCTCCCACTTCCAGGCTGTAACTGTAATTCTTTGCCTCGTCATCATCTCCCATGAATCTCAGAAACGCGATGTAAACAGGCGCCATGCCTAGCTGGAACGCCTCAAAATGGAGACAAAAGTACTGCCCAAAGCAACTAAATACCTGCCCAAATCATGACATAGCAACATACTTTTATTATTCTAAAAAAAACCCCTCAACTTTGTCTCTTTTTCTG